ACAAGCTGCATGTCTTTGGACGGTGGGAGGAAGCCGGAGTACCCGGAGAGAACCCACGCAAACACGGGGAGAACATGCAAACTCCACACAGAAAGACCCCGGCCTGATGGTGGAATTGAACTCAGGACCTTCTTGCTGTGCAGCACCAGTGCTAACCTTCTTTTACCCGTTTGTTAAAAATTATTTCAGCTACTTACACTTTAATTGTCACATGTATTGGCTCACCCTACAAATCAATGAACTCAGTCCACAAAGCAAGATCAGGGTTCAGTGCAGGTCAGTCAAGTTCCTTCACACCACACACGCTCATCCATGTCCTTGTGGACCCTGTTTTGTGCAATGATTTGGTCGTGTGAGCCAGTATTTTGGACAAAGTGTATATAAAGGCAGACGTGTGGGGCTTGATATTATATCCATTACAATTCAGTTTATTTGTATGGTGCCAACAAAATGAATGCCAAGGCACTTCACATTGTAGGTTTGAGACCCTACAAAATATAAGTAAGGAAACCCAACACTTGAGCATGTGTTGTCTGCCATGATATGGATATGACATAATATCGTTATTGTTTGTACAACCATCTGAGAAAATAATGGATTACATGGTTTAGTAAAAACAAGTGCTTCCTCAATGAAAATATGTTTTCAGTTCTTTTCAGTTTTTGATTTTGGAAATGTGTATTTCAGCAGGGAAAAATCAGAATTGAAATAAAGTGGTGCAAAGCACATGAATTATATTTTGTGTGTGTGTGTGTGTGTGTGTGTATCCATCCATCCAACTTTTTTGGAACCCTCCAGTCTCTTACAGTATGTTACTGTTAACTGAAATTACGGTAAATTACGACCTGTTAAAAGAGTAAATGACCGCCTGTTGGGACACGGTATCCTCTAGCAGAGATGAATATTTTTGGTACTGATGATGCGTGATAACGGTAAGTTACTGGTTAATATATTGCAGTTTATTACCTTGCAGCGGGCTTACAGTGACATACCGTGAATAAGCGGTAGTATACCAATTTCTTAATCACAGTATGATGTTACTTTGTTGACGTAATTTACGACATAACGACATAACGGTATCTCACTGACATAACTGTCGCCAGTGAGATACCGTAAAAAAGGCTACGGTGCGTTACCATAATTTGTCCAAGAGTATTATACCACACCAGCAAAAAACGGTATCATCCTGCAGAAAGGTAAGCTAGCGTAACACGGCGTCACGGTATGACGCTGGCAGCAGTGACGCCAGTATGTTACCGTAAAGTGGCGATGAAAAGTCTAACGGTGCAGATACACGGAGTAATCAGAAAAGTTTAGCATGAATCTGGACATTAGATTTAAGATTTAAGTTTTAAGCTTATCAGATATCACTTGTTAGAAGCTCCTTACCGTTTGAAGAAATCTCTTCTCAATCTGCTGTCCTCTTCTGCTTGCATCTTTTTTTTTCATCTAACACTGACGTTATTCCATATTTTTTCTCCGTGAAAAACATAGCAACTCATCTTATCCCGGGGTGCCAGGAAGTCGAGCTGCGGATCTCAGCAGAAAACTTCTCAAACTGATTCCAGGTTGATCCAGGTATACATTTGAAACAGGTTCTCCTCTGTGACGTGACAGTCGGAACGCATCTGCGTAACCATGGTTACAGGGGGACGCTTTGGAGCTCTGCTGCTCAGCAGCAAAATATTTCAGATCACTATGTAAATACTCCAACTCTAAAACCAAGTAAAATAAATATGCTGCATATGTGTATAGTGCGTTCATGTGTGTGTGTGCGCTGCGTGGTAACGTAGGCGCGTGCATGTGTGCCCCGGTCACAGCTCCTTTCAGCATGGCCGGAGGTAAGTCACTGCCACGTTGCTCTCAGCTAATTAAAGTTTGTTCAGATCCCAAGCTGCAATGTGAATACAGCCAAACCGCCGCGTTTTTGTTTGTCATTAAGAGACTCATTCGGGATAAGTTTTGTGGAGGGCGGAGTTCACTAATATACACTTATAATGAGTTTTAGCCGAGAACGCAGCTAAAATGCTAGCATGCTAAGTTAGCCTGATTGCTAGCGGCTACTCGCGGCAGTCTTTTTTTAACAGCATGCACTCTTTTTTCCTTCGTCAGGAGAGGTGTACTGGCAGTCGCGTGACACACACAGATCAGACACATATTTCTGTGTTGCAGGTATGGAGATGTTCTTATGTTTTGGAGATGCAGTCTTTCATTCATTGTTTTTATAAGTACAGTGTTGTACTGCCTGTTAGATGGCGGTTATTAATATAATTGTACTGAAGTATAATGTTTGAACTATAAGTACCAGAATATTGGGTCCTGGTTATTGAATTGTATTTATCTGACTGTTTATTTGTTTTTGAATTATTTTGTTTATTGTTCTTATAAGTTGTTTTTGATGTTTTTTCAGTGACATATTATTTATTTTGTGCTTTTTGTTTTTGAGAGCTTAAGTTAATGTTTTAAAACAATTTGTTGTATTTGATTCATTATATTATTGTAGTGTTAATGAAGCTGCAGACACAGCTCCTTTCAGCATGGCCGGAGGAGAGGTGTACTGGCAGTCGCGTGACACACACAGATCAGACACATATTTCTGTGTTGCAGATGTGCAGTAAAGAGCCAAAGACCCAGTACTGTCTCCTGCCTCTTACTTTCACGCCAGAACACAACGCAAGAACAACAGGCGTAACACATGAACGGGTTACACATACTGAGGTGAGTTGTTGAGGATATGTCGAGCTGTTGATGAGCACGGCTGGTTTTGTGCTCTTATATACTGTTAGCCTGTTTTGCTGGCGTTAGTGAAGCTGTTTTCAACTGGATGTAACATTGTTGAACTCTGATGATTAATGAATAAACTCTCGATGTGACGACGTGAGCATGTAATTGTAACCCTGTGTTCATTTAGTCGTTTATTGTCACATTGTGCGCCATGTTATTGTTTCGGTGAAATGAATTTCTACAATGGCGGACTTAGACAAAATAGTGTTACTGTTAAGACACAGACACTGCAAACCTCATCTCTGGAGAAAAACCACAAGAACAACATCCAAAAGAAAGAAAACATACCTTAGAAACATGCCGGGTTAGAGGAGACGGCAGCACTGCAGAGGTGAGGACAGGCATCTGTTTGAAATAGACAAAACAGTAAACATAGTCATACAGACTCAGAGACGCTTTCCATCCAATCTGTCTGAGTTTGAGCTGTTTTACAGTGAAGAATGGGCAAATAATTCAGTCTCTAGATGTGCAAAGCTGGTAGAGACGTACTCCAAAAGACCTGCAGGTGTAACTGGAGCAAAATGTGGCTCTATGAAGAGCAGGGGGTGAATAGAAAAGAATGACACACTTTTCCAAATTTAATTTGCTTAGAATTTTGACAACCATGTATTATTTTCATACCACTTCACAATTATGTGCTACTTTGTGTTAATCTACCATTGAAACTGTCAATAAAAACATCTTTTGTTTGTGGTTGTAAGGTGACAAAATGTGCACAAGTTCAAGGACTATGAATGCTTTTTCAAGGGACTGTAATGTCAAATCACCCCACATGCACACATCAGTGCACAGGCATGTACACACATGCAGAGTTACATTATCAAAGAAGCTAAAAAAACAAGCTCTGCTTTAACTTTTAACTAAAAAAAAAGACTGCAAACTTTAGGAACAATATGGAATGAGTGATAATGTCATCATTCCATGAATTGAAAAAATTTGTTTCACCTTAAATCTTTTTTTCTTTTCTTAATTGCAAAAACTGTAAATTTGGCTCAAGGGGACCTGAAAGCCAGGAGACAATTTATTGACTTTGCCCACAATCTTATGAAGAAAAAGATTTCCAATAAATATTAACTCATTCACTGCCAGCCATTTTCAAACGTATGCTTTCAATTGACGTCTATACACGTCAATGGCAGTGAATGAGTTAATAGAGCAAAATCTCTCTCTCTTAAGTAGTTGTTGCCTAACCACGTCCTAACCTAGCAGTCATATACAGCTATTAATTAATCCTGCATTTTTTTGTCAAAGACATTTCTCACCATGAAATTACCCGATTACAGTTAGCCTTTGCAGTAATTTCCATAGCTTAGTACTGCAAAATCAACAGTAAAAAACTCTAAAGGATGTTAGCAGTTTAGTACTGTAATTTGCATGTAATTGTGGGAAAATTCCATGAGATTACACTATTTTTACGGTAACTCACTGTACTCATGGAAACAGCTGTAAAATACAGCAAATGTAACAATTGGTGATGTTACTGAGATTATACTATTACACCATCCGGATTTCTGTTGTTTTCTACTGTAGATCTAAGAGTAATTACTTAAATCCTCATTCAGAGTGTATTACTATAAAATGTGATTCACTGTGAAAGCAGTATAACATATAAACTACAATATACAGCATAATTTTTAACTTAAGGAGTAAGTTGCAGCCACACTAAAATTTAATTCCTTGAACTGAATGGAACCTCATATATTAATAAATGCATTTGTTTAGTCAAACAATGTGAAACATTAGTAATACTATTAATTAATAGTATACTTGTAAGGTTAGTATTGTGATAGAGTCGAGTATATTTTAATTATACCCTTGTAGACATTATGACATTATGCTAGTACAATTATGGTGAACAAAAAGTACATCTAAAAGTTAATTTCAAGAATACTGTTATGTACTAAAACGGGGGCCAATATAGTCCCAAGAAGCATTATTAGTATACGTACTAGGTAAGGTATACTTGGGAAATATAATTGAAGTATACTTATTTTTGTATGGCCAGCAACAAAAACTAATGGCTACATTTAGAGTAATGTTTAAAAATGACTTCATTTAGCAGGATGTTGCTTTTTTCTCTTCTTATTCTTTCTTATACTGGACCTTCATTTGTTTTGTATAAGGTGGTACTTTTTAAGACACCTCTGCCTAACTACAGTGAACTGATTTAATAATATGCTCTGGTCGTCATTTTACACAAGGTGTCACATCCATGAAACCTACACCACTAACCAGCATCAGTCCTACAACTTCACTCTCAAAATTAATAAATTCTGGGACAAGCAGAAACTGTATTTTTAGCGGTGCATTTTGTTGCAGGCCAGACTGCTATTAAATGCTCTCCTAAAGCAATAATTCCTTTGTAGCACCACTTCGTCTTGGTTCAGGAGAGATGTCCTGATATACGTGATAATGTAACACATTATCACAGTTTAGCGCGTTGGGTTGTGTTTTTAAAGCGATTGTTACGTTTTTAAAGCTTTGTAATGCGACAGGTGCGATAGCCGACACCACACCTTCACCTGACGTACAACGTGACGTATGACGCACACGTCGGGTATTCACTTTCAAAACAACAATGGGGATAGAAAATATTGCTCGAGGTGGTTAATGCTCCTTTCGCTGGTTGCCAACCACCATTAAATAACAACAAGAAGAAAATATTGATCTGCTTCTCTTAGTTTTGCACGTTTAAGCCGCAATTCAGACTCAAAAAAAGCTGCAAAGCAGGAGAACAACATGGCCATCAACTATTCTGTGCCACAGATACAGTTCGCTGCAGCACAGAGTGATGATGAGACCGTTAACATGTGCAACTTAGAAGTAGTCAGAGGTAACTGGATGTTCAATCGGGTTAAATGCAAGGTTGATTGGATTATATCTGAAGGTCGTATGCTATTCGTGGTAACTCTGCTAGACTCCAAATTGCTGCTCGTCCATGCGGGAGTATCTCAAAATTAAATGAAACCACTTAACACTTTTTCCCTAAAACGGACTGACATGGGACACATTAAAGTTGGATCGGAACCAGCTAATCAGTCTGAAGGTAAGTGTTTTTTTCACTTATTCGAGAGAAGTCCGAAATGCATTCTTAGTACTGTTTGTTTTGACTTTTAAGCTACCAGGATATTTTCATTTAAAGACAAAATGTCAATATCTCTGAATGTGGAGACTCAAAAGACTAGTTAGGTAATTTGCCGATGGATTTATGAGACTTGATAGAAACTTGGACGTTTGCAACAGGTGAATCGGTGAACTACCGAGGTTGCGCCCAAATGCTTAAAGCTGTTAGCTGGTCAGTGTTTTCAGGTGTGCTTGTACTACCTGTACGGAGCGGACTACTGACTAAGTCATGTTAAACCCATTAAAGCGTCGAGCTCAAATATCTTTTCATGTTTGTGCACTGCTCTCTTGTCGGCACACATTTTCTGTTTATTGAAGCCTTTTGTGAATAATTTTGATCATGTAAAAACTGGGAATTGGTCCCTATTGACAATACTCTTATTTTTTGCATTGAATATGTCATTCAGGAAAGGTAATTGGTCACTGAAGTTTTTGCAACTGTGTATTTCTAAATTTTGTGGCTTCAGTGCACGCAAATTTATATTGTTCAGTTTGCATGTTAAAAGCCTGCCAAGCACCCCAAGGCTGATTATGCTTGGTAAGAAGTCATTTATGACATAGAGCTGATTAGACCATATTAAAATTTCTGTTTGGCACAGGAGCTTTTTGTGGACACAGGTTGTTAGAGTTTGTATTGTTGATTGTTATTTATGCTTAGAAATATTTAACCATAGATGCTTAGAGGTGTATAATCAATTGTGTAGTGATAAGTTGTGTGATCTTTAACAGGCTACAGAGGCTTGGTGTGCATTCCACACCTACATCCTGGGAGCATGAGAGAGGTCATACCTTCTCTTATTGTTTTATGGTAGGATTAACGTAGCTACGTCTGTTTTAGTCTAAGTGCTTTTCTGTTTAGATGAACTGCTGGACTTCCTCACCGGGGGGGGGTCTAGTCTACCCTCTTCCTGACCAAGGATGTTTGACCCTTTGATCAGCAACACACACACACACACACACACACACACACACACACACACACACACACACAAGGTACTCTTTGTTTGTATGTAGACGTCGTATGTTAATGAACCTATGCATATTCATGTAACCTCAATAAAAGGATAGTGTATGGGAGGACGGACGAGAGCTACTGGGGTCAAGCGAAGGGACGGCGCTCTGTCCAATCTCTCCCGTGCACGAGTACCATGAAGAAGTTTGCCTACTTGCGTCTTGCTTGCAGTGTAATTATATTGTCTTAACGTTCCAGCGAATAGGTTCAAGCTACAAACCTATCATTAATTGGTCCTTCGATGCCGGAGCCCTGGAATCGCATTCACCGAGGGAAGGAGAGGCACGCTGAAAGACTGACGTCAGCCAGGAAGTTCCTGTGGATTCGCTGTATGTCTTTTCTCCTCGATGAATGGCGATTGGCGGGATTCGAGGCTGATATTACACGCTAAGCAACACCGAGTAAGTTTAGAGTCCAACTCTATAACTGTACGTCTTCGCCGCTCAGTGGGGCGTTGTCCGTGGCCGCTTAGTGGGGCTAAAATTACGTCTTCGCCGCTCAGTGGGGCGTTGTCCGTGGCCGCTCAGTGGGGCTAAAATTCGCCGTCTAAGTGGGGCGATGTACAAAGCCGCTCAGTGGGGTTTTTTGTACAGAAGCATTAAGTCGCAGAGTTGCGCAGTTCGAACTTTTTTTGGTTCGCCGTCTTAGTGGGGCGAAATACAGACCGCTGTGTGGGGTACTGTAGTGAGTTCTCCACCGCTCAGTGGGGTGTTGAGAAGTTCCGCGGGGTCCAGATTGTGCTGGACAGTAGGCCTATTTTGTGTTGTTTTTGTTGTCGTCGTCGTTGTTGTTGTTGTGTGGGTGTGTGCGGAGCAGAACATGTGGTCTGTGACACCGACTGTTGTTGTTATCATGGGTTTCTATGCAACCAAGAGTGAGTCGGAGGGAGACAGACGTTTGTGCTGGACTTTGCTCCTGGCAGCACAAAGTATTTATGTAAAAAAAAAAGAGAGGGCGACGGCTCCACAGCTGCGCGGGTTCACGCGAGCGCGGTCACGCGGGTTTCACGCGGACCTGAGCCGTGCGGTTAATCGCAGGCTTATAAATGGAAGAGATTAAGATGTTAAGAAGTTTTCAGAAAACACACCAGCCTTGAAGAGCGTGTGGAGAAGGCCAGCCCACATCAGCAGCTATGCTCTGGTGGGTGGCTGTCCCCCCACCCCTTGCTGACACAAAACGTTAACTCTTCAGCCTGTGTGCCAGACCATAGACGTAATTGAGGTGGATAGTTGTTAAAAGTAACCTACATTAAACTTGTGGTTGCTTAAATTCAGTACGATGACATGTGAGGTGAAGTGATATAGGTAAATATTTAAACTAACGAAGTGCATAGAGGCACTTGACCTGTGTGAAAGACTGTCGTCTTATTATGAACCATTGTTGAGATATAGAGCACACCTGTGAAAACAACTAATATGCTCAACCCTGTATGAAACATCTAAAAGTACATGATGGAGGAGCTGTGTTGAATATGAAAGTGTAAGACTTTGCCGCTGTGGGCAGAGCATGCAACTACTGTGTGATGTTGCGTTGCGGTTTTTTTTCTGAGCTGATGAGCAAGCTACACATTATCAGATCAAGAGCTGTCTGGGAACTACTCAAAGAGAGGGAAACAGAGAGTGTGCAGCGTTTCCGTGAGCAGTTTTCCTGCATCTTGACTTGTGTGTAGAGTGTTTATAACATCAGCATCATGTTTTTGTTTATTTGTTTGTTGGGTTGAAAAATAGTTAAATAAACTGGTGATCATATTTACGGATCACCATGGCACATATCATCAGCCATGTGATTTATGTTTGCAGATGACAAAGTGAGTGTGAATGTGTCTGACGTCACAGTGTTTTTGTGCGCTGTGTAAAAGTAATTGCCTTTGATTGTGAGTGAGAGCGGTGATTCTGCAGGTCACCAGCTATTGTAACGAAAAAAAGAAGAAAAAAAAAGAGTGAAAAAGAAAAATCATAGGAA